GAATCAATGATTCATTCACTGATCAGGCCTCAATATACCCATGTCTGGTTCTTTTCATCACCTCTGGGCAATTTTTCTTTCAGTGTCCTTTCAGTCTGCACTTGAAGAACTTGCCTTGCGGCTTCTTCATAGCAACTGGTTTGACAACTGATAACCAAGTTATTTTGTTCTTGTTACCACCCTTGGGTTTCTCTTTGGATTTAACAAGACTCTTAGCAAAGCCTTCACCGACTGCATTCTGTCTAGCAGAACTGCTAGACGCAGCAAACATGTCATTAAGAGCCTGAAGCATTTCTACTCCACTCTTAATCATGTAGACTTGCTTCTGAAAGTATTTGGAAAGACTGACAAGAACATAGCAGTGAACTACCATATCTGCCCTTTCCCAATCTGAGAAATGCATCTTAGTTTCCTAAGACGCATCCTCTGCAGGTTGCTATGGCCCTCGCATTGTCAGAACAAATTTTAGCTTCCATGTTTTAGAACAATATCAAAAAATTTGCTTTTCACTTATTCATAGTTGGTACCATCTAGAGGTTTTCGACTCAAAATCATTTCTAAGATATTTTCTGAAAAACATATAAAGCACACAATTACAAACAAATAATGCAATAAACAAACGAAGTGCAAGTAGATTCTCATAACTACTCTTGTTTATTGTTAACAATCCTTCAGTTTATCTTTACAAGGCTTACGATGGGCAAGTCACTTGTAAAAACCAAAATTGTTATTTGGGCCTTCAGTGCCATTGCCAGAGCCTCGATGGGAGGGTTAACAATTTTACCAAAGTTGAATGTAATTAACCATTGTTTAATTTCAAAATTACCCTTAGTGTCTAAGCATTGCCGACGATGGGCCGTACAATACTTTACTAAAATTTTGAAATTATTAAGATTTAATCTAGTGAAATCTGATTATCCTTATCCGATGGGGCTTCAGCGATAATCATTTCACTAATAAACCCACAAATGGAGCCCGCAGGTTTTAAAATTAATTAAATTTTAAAACCTTCACCCATTCAACATTTTTGTTTGAGAATTTTCATAAGGTCAGTCGAATTCATTGTTTAATTTCAAAATTATCTTTAATAACTTAGTATTATCGACGATGGGCCGTACAATACTTTATTAAAATTTTGAAATTATTAAGGCCCAATAAAATCCAATTATGCTAATCCGATGGGGCCTCACATGATTATTTTATTGATAGGCCCACAATGCGCCTGGAGGTTAAATTAATTTCTTAATTTAAATCTCCTCCCATAGATATTTAAGTCCAATCTAATAAAATCCAATCATGCTTATTCGATGGGACTTCACATGATTATTTTATTAATGGTCCTATAATGCGCTTGAAGGTTGAATTAATCTCTTAATTTAAATCTCCTTCCATTCAACATAAGCAACATTTTCTAATTTCCAAGAATTATTTAATTGAGAGTATCCTTTGTTTGATTTCAAAAACTATATAAGTAAGAGCGCCGATAAACGTGCACTAAGCTTAACATAATTTTGAAAGCATTAAGGTCCTGAAATCCGGTCACTTTACGTCAGCGTGTGCTCCAAACAATCATGATACATGAATGTTGTATGCAGCGTGTGTTATTCCATGACCATTTCAGAAAACCCACAAATTACTCGCAAAATAAAAGAATTCTCTTAGGAAATTTTCTCTAATTATTTTTCTAGATTTAAATCATCCAAATAGCTGACTTAATTATTAATGTAGATTGCAACAATCATAATAATTATCATTTATGAGGATAATTTGAAATCAAAATAATTTCCATAACGATTATTTGTCTTGATGTTAATTATCCAAAATTAATTAATTCAATTATTAATCTAGATTTTTAATAAAAATCATAATAATTATTAATTAATTTCTTAGGATGATTTAAAATCAAAATAATCCCATAATAACTATCATACTAGTCGCTGAAGACATAATAGCTATTATGCTCATGCAATCATACAAGTTATGCAACAATATGGCACCACCTATTCTATATGGCATGTTATCGCAATAACGCATGTTATCAATCATATAATTTATACCAATCAATAAAAGCATTAAATAATAAAATCTAATTACTTTAATCCATGGCCTTCCTATTTTAAAGAAAATAAAATAAAATAAAATAATACAACTTTGGAATTCGACTTTCGCCTAGCCCATAGTATCTGTCTCAAGCCCCTTTAGGGTTTCATGGGCCCAAAAGCCCAAAGACCCAATCCTTTGGCGAGAAACCCTACGACGCGAAAGAGAAACCCTAGCCGTCAGGTCTGCCGCGCCGTCACCCGAAGTCAAATCAAGCTGAAACTCCAGGGGAAGGACCGCCACGTATAGACGAGTGCACCGCCGCCGGAATCACCCAAAAAGGTGGCCGGACGCTCCCTCACTCTCCCATTCTTTGCCGGAGAGTGGCGGCCACTCTCAGAATATTGTGGAGGCGCGTGGGGGCGCGTGTAAACTCAGATGGCGGTACGCCACCCACCGTTGCGTTCGTCTTTCCGTCCTCTTTCCAACCATATATAGATCGCCTAATTCCGAGATCGGGAAGACCTCGAAAAGTCTCCGAAAGTTCTGACTGCGCATCTTACTCGCGGTTTCTCGATCTTGAACTTTTACAAAATATTTGAAAAATACACAGAAATTCCAAAAATAAACAAAAACAGCAAGGAGGAAACCTAATCATATGGGATTAGCCTCCTTGTTACAAATCGAGAAATACACGAGAGACCTTAACCATGGATTAAAGCATTTTTACCGATTAAAATTTAATCTTTTATGAAAATGAATTATAAAATACACATGCTAGATTCATACCATAATCCTAGAACCCTAGGTGCCACATTTCAAGAAGCAAAACTAATTACATGAATAGTGAAACTAGATTCACATACCAATGTACAGCCGGCGCTCTGATACCAATTGAAGGAAAACTTAGATTTATGCGGAAGCGGTTTAGGACCTAGTACATTGGTATGCTTACCGAATCATCCTTGTTTCACAATTACCTCTCGGTGCGCAGGTCTCGTGTAGAATCTTCCCTTGTAGGATTCCTCTTCACGAACAGCTCACCTCAGCGCCGCAGCACGAACAACCTCCTTGAAGCTGGACTGTGGCAGATCTTCCAAACTATCTCTCGAGGAGGAAGGGGAAGTGTGTGGGCACTGATTAGATTCAGAGCTTGCCTCTTTCTCACAAAAAAGACCTTTGAGGCTGATGACTTAAGAGGTACTATTTATATGGGTTCCAAGAAACCCTAGCTCATTGGGCTCTAGGTTCCTTGGGCTCTTCTCATACTAATAACCCATTTGGGCTTTAGTAAAAGAGCAAACCCAACAGCTTTGGCCAACGCTGCATATTCCGCAAACCGGCGCTAGTTGGCGCCGTTGTGGCGCCAGTTGGCGCCACTTCCAAAACACTGCTGCAAAGTTCGTAAATTGGCACGGGTGTGCGCCAGTGTGCCGCCATTCTGCGCCATGTTGCTGGAATTTATACTGTGCTACACCCGTGTGGAGTCGCGTCAACAGGCATTTTATAATTTTGTAATTTTCACTTCTTTTACTTGTATAAACACAATCAATAGGTGAGAATTATCATTGACATAGAAAGAATTAATATAATTAGCAAATATGTATTTAAATTGCTCTTTTATGACTCAATTCTTATCAATTTCAACTTGAAAAACCACACTTGCCAGAGACACATCAGGAGGTTAGTCAACTATTATGGGGAAGAGCTAACCTAGTTTGCCTTGTTGTGATAAGACGCTTTGCAACTGCTGCCATGCAGCAGGGGTATTAGGGAAGGATCTCCAGGTTGACCATTTCGGTTGCCTGTGGGGCAAAAGGAAAGGTTCGCGCCCCAACATAGGATATTTTGATGTCTTACGTTGGGGAACCTGTTGCATGAAACAATGATCGCAACAATGGTAGGACTTAGATGACAAGTGGCTTTGACATTGGATCTGTGTTGTTGGGTTAGCTAGTTGGGCCGACCAGAACAGATAATTTAATTTAATTTTTAAGAGTGTTAGAAGATGGATTAGATGAAAAAAAAAACATAAGAGATAAATGATAAAATAATAACTGTAAGAGAATAAGTGATTGTAAGAGAAATTATAGTTTTTTTTTTTTAATAACTTTTCCCTTTATTATTTGATCGTTCAACCAAACCCTAACTGGTCATGACCCAACTGGTCCAGCATTACTATTGTATTCAAATAGAATAATATATTCACGGAGCTGGCTTATCCCATCCAGCATTACTATTACTCCTATTGAAAGGTATGCCATATCAATATCATGTAGTTCATGCGAAATCATGCTTATGATTTTTTTTTTTTTTTTTTTAGTTGAATCGTAACTGAAGCATTAGGAAAAAATCCACTTAATATAGAAAGCATTTGAAAATTTGGTTTGCGTTTTCAATTTTCATGTGCCACTATGTCAATGGATTCTCGCCGTTGATATTTGTGATATTCGATCAACAAATTTTGGATCTCCTTTTTTTGGGTCAAACATCTTATAAGTCTCAAGTAGCAACTAACCTTAGCATTTATTTTTTTATTTTTTTTTGGCACATGAACATTTTTTTCTTTGGTACATAACTAACCTTAGGATACGTGCTATATGTCAACTACAACATGCCAAGTTGCCTAATTTTCTGGTATGATTGCTAATGGAATAAAAAAACAAATTTTTTGCCCATTGATTTATTATACAATTGTCAAACGAAAATGGTTTTGTTGTTAACTTAATTAGAAACGCATTAATATTATAGTGTTTCCATGTTGGGCATAACACAAAAAGTTATTTAGATGGTTATCATTATTTTAAGCTAACCATAATTATACTTTAAGATATTGCTTTGAGTCTAATAGTAGTAATATCACCCGTGGAAATTGGGAAACAAATGAACTGAAATCAAAGGGTTATATGCTAGGAACTCAAATGAATACCATAAAGAAGCTTTTGACTTTTTGAGTATCCAATTCAAAGGTTATCTGAAACCAATAAACAGGGGTTCTTTTTTTTTTTTTTGGTAACAAGAGGGGTTCTTTACCATCCACAACAGTTCATGAGAATTGGGACAAGGAAAAAGCCGAAAAAATTCCACAAAAGTTTGTTAGCTTCTTCAAACGCAAAGAACTTTCCACTTTCAAATTCAGAACCCCTTTTATTCCTTCCGTACGCCAACGTTTCATTCATGACCTGAATTTTTTTTCTTAATTGTTTTTTTGACACCTTTTTTTATCTGATTCTCGGTAATAGGAGGATTACAGTTGTTACCCTTGATGGGTTCTTGTTATCGATAGTAAATATTGATGGGGTTGTGAAAAAGATTTTTCCTTTTCACGTTTCTCTCTAGTTTCTTTGTGCTTGTGGATCCTGAGTTCCATAGCTTGAACGCTGTGGAACTCTGTAGTTTGTTGCCTCTAATCACTGCAAGCAAGCTTCTTTTCTTGCTTTCTGTAAAAATGATGCCTTCTTCCAATGATGAACTTGACATGGAAAATGCCAAGTTGGACAAGAATAGAGAGAAGACTCCAAGAAATATCAGGGTAGTTAAAGTCCACAATCAAGCCTTATTGGCTGGACTTGCATATTGTCTTTCCTCATGTGGCATGATATTGGTTAACAAGTTTGTACTTTCCAGCTATGATTTTAATGCTGGGATATCCTTGATGTTGTACCAGGTAATTGATTGATTTCCTTAAAAAAAACTCTTTTCCCCTTTTACCTGTGGATGTAGAAGTTGCTTTTGCTGGATTCTGACAATTGTGTGGATGCAGAATTTCATTGCAGTGGTTATTGTTTCTGTGTTGAACCTTCTGGGTTTAGTTTCAACTGAACCACTAACATGGAGATTGATTAAAGTCTGGTTGCCTGTGAATGTTATATTTGTCGGAATGCTCTTTACAAGCATGTTTAGGTATGCAGTCCTCAACTTTGTGGCTATTGTAATGCTTTCCTTCTCTCTTTCCTTAGAATATATTGATCATCTTCCAAAGGGGATGGTGGCAGTTATTTTGTGACTGCTTTTCTACCCCTCAGTGTTTCATATGCTTCTAGTTTTTCAAATGCTAATAAGTTATAGTTACCACTTTTTTTTCTTACCACCTCTAACAACCACTTTGTTATGGTTGGATCAAAATCAAATCAATGGCTCTCATTTGATGCCATTTTGTAATGTTGATTTGATTTTGATCAAACAATATTAATATTAATTGTAAGACGTGGTAAGAAAAAAAAGTGGTAAGTATAACCTCCTCATTTTTATGTGTCTTTTCTAATAATTGTTCAATGTTAAGTGTGAAACTGCATTGCTTTTTTCTTTTTAAGAATATTTTCCGGAATGTGTTGTGAAAGATTCCTTTTATACGAGTAATCTGGTGTAATCATGAAATGGAAACATTATGCAGAATTCAGGGAAAAATTATTCTTATTTAGGGAGCGTGTCAAAGTTCAAAAGAATACTGACTTTTTATTGTCAAACATGTGATCTTGACATTTACTATCTGTGCGAGTGTCAGTTTCTGGACAGAATTGAAAATTGAGCATTTTGTTACTTTCTCTTGCTTGCTTGCATTATTTTGCTTATATCCATTTGTATTATGTGCAGTTTGAAATACATTAATGTAGCCATGGTGACAGTCCTGAAAAATGTTACTAATGTCATAACAGCCCTTGGTGAAATGTACTTGTTCAAGAAGCACCACGACAGCAGAGTCTGGGCTGCTCTGTTTCTAATGGTATGTTGAAGATCTTGACATATGAATCTCGCAATCCCTGGGTTTTTGGCTGTTTGAGACCCTGACTTTGATGTAGAATAATGGATTTTCATATTATACTTCTTCTAGTTCTGGTTTGTTGCTTACATCTCCTACAACCATCACTCTTGCCCATATAGTTTTAATGTAGTTGTCAAAGGATGTAGTCACTATGGTAAAGATGTTATTTGTCTTATCATAACAAAATGTTCATGCATTACTGATTAGGTCTTGCTGAGTCCTACTTCTAAGGAGATTTAAATGATGTCTAGAGTGGGGATGGTGTTTTAGGATGGTGACAAGGTTTACACAAAATTTGTAAGTCAAATTCAGTATAATGTAGTTGCTAGACTGTCACAGCTGATGTGTGGGATAATTTGCATTTAGAACTGGGTGGCTTGTCTGTTTTGATTCATACTTACTATAAACATCTTTTATTTTGTTGGACTCATATAACTGTTTACTGCTATGATTGTCTTGAAACTGTGCATCAGTTGTATACTTACTTTACTTAACATCATGAGTTTTTAAATAAGACAGGCTGAAGGAGTTTCCCTTTTCCCTTGCAGATCATTTCAGCAATAATTGGAGGGATAACTGATCTCTCTTTTAATGCCACTGGCTATGCTTGGCAGACACTAAACTGTTTCTTAACTGCATCATATTCTGTGAGTATTGATGTTTTGTGATGTTTCATTCTCTTTTAATTCCACTTTCCTTACCTTTCTATTACTGTCCAGATGCATTTCAAATGAAATTTCAACTGAATGCTGCAAAATGTAACTTTACAAAAAGTTTATGAATTTTTTTTTTCTGTTTGCAATGTTGTTTTGCATGTATATATAACTTTTCATCTGGGCATCAATATTGATAATATGATATCAATCCAGTATCATCATACACAACATTAATTCAATGGCGTCTTTGTCTTGCTAAAGTCTATAACTGTTTTTTTTTTTTTTTTTTTTTATCGTTGTAATGCTTTTTATGTTTTACTCTTTCAGCCCAATTTAATACTTCTGGTAGTTTCAACTATGACCCGAACACATGCCATAGATATTATCTGCTTGTATGCTGCTGTTGTTCTTATGGTTATAGTGTTTCCCTAGTTCCTAGGTCTCTCTGTGTGTGTGTGTGTGTGTGTGTTGATGGCTGCAATGCTTAGACATGGTTGAGTGAGAAAGTAAAATCAAATAAAGGAAAATTATGTGAATTGATATAGTTCCTTGGTGAATTGTTCAGTTTATTCAATCAAACTTTCTTTACTTAAAGGCAAGCCATTCTTCACCTATTCCTGATGAGAACAGATTCAATGCATTTTAGTTTGACATGTTACTTGCTTTGGAGGGGTTTCTAGATTCATAGTACTAAATTACTTTTGCACTTCTACACAGACGAGGTTTAATTTGGTTTTGGTTTAAAAGGATAATATACTATATATAATGTGCATATGTAGATAGCACCAAATTTTAGCTTTTAGTCAAGTTAGCTGATTAATTGGTTGTTTTCATTTTATTGTTGCAGCTGACCCTACGAAAGGTCATGGATACCGCAAAGCAAGTTACTAAATCTGGAAATTTAAATGAGTTTTCGATGGTCTTGTTGAATAACACCCTTTCTTTGCCTTTGGGAATTATCCTGATCATTGTTTTCAATGAGGTGGATTATCTCTTAAGCACGTGAGTATTAACCCACATGTAGTGAATGAAGTCAATATTATGTGAACTTTTGCTGTGTGTTTGTTTTTTATTATACAAATACACAGATCTAGAATCCACGGAAAGGTGTTTTTATGTGATAAATTGTTTATGTTATGTTAATGGCAGAAGTAAAAAGCTATTCACAAAATACAAAAAAAAAATATTCACTATTTTTTCCTTCTGCAGACCTTATTAAATATTATGTATTTTAATTGCCAGGCCACTTTTGAGATTGCCTAGCTTTTGGTTGGTGATGACATTCAGTGGAATTTTGGGTCTAGCCATCAGCTTCACATCCATGTGGTTTCTTCATCAGACAGGGGCTACAACCTACAGGTATGATCATAACTACCAATTGCTAAGGTTTCTAAAGTAGTTTTACATGTTATTGACTATAGCTGTGTGTGTGTATGTTTGCACTTTTCACCTCGGTTATAACATAAACTAATTGTGGATTATTGTTGGAACAATTGTTTTCATTAAATGTAGAATCTAGTCTTTAATGTCATGCTATATCAGAAAAGTGTCGCCATTTTAATTTCTTCTGGACATATCTAATCACACTAGTTTGCCACCTGCAGCCTTGTAGGTTCGCTGAATAAGATACCACTTTCGATTGCTGGCATCCTTCTCTTTAAAGTTCCTACTAGTTTGGAGAACTCCAGTAGCATTCTTTTTGGTTAGTTCTTTACATTCACTGATCTGAAAGTGGTGTTATTATTATTATCGTTATTGTTATTATAGAGTGTAAGAGCACAAGTTTGTAGTACATTTTGTTTGACCACTGAAGGAAGGGGTGCAATTTGTAGGTCTTCTGGCAGGAGTGTTTTTTGCTAGAGCCAAAATCCGGGAGAGATCTCAATCCTGAAAAGCAAGCAGTAAATGCCAATGTTTTAAAGCTATCTAGAAGGAACCTTTCCAATCTATGGAATTTGATTTCTTCATTCCAGGTCTGTGAGATGTCATCAGATAAAACTAACTCTTCTACCCTTTAAATATGCAATTTGGGTGAGCTACTACTTGGGGTTGGTTCATGATTACTTGCTTTCCTGAGGGAAAGTTTTTGGTCCACGTTTCATTTGGATATTCTCGGGGAGGAGGTGCTTGCATTGCATTGGGAGATAAATTTGCCACTAACCTTTTTTCTGTTGGATTCTGTATCATGTGACTTCATTGTCCCTATGTATCACATTACGATTTGTAATTCTTATGGAAATGGAAAAAAGTTGATCTTGCATTGGGGACATGGGTTAAACTTTCTCTCTGTTTTCTTTCTTTTTTCTATCTTAAGAAACTCATTTTTGGCTATTGTATACCCGCATCATGTGCTTCTCATAGTGTCGTCAAGCATAAGCTTTTTCTTTCCCAAAGGGCAAACTTGTGACTTGTGACGGTATGGGCGAAGGTCGGCTGCTGAAATGCTCGCCCTCTTCTTTTCCCTTGTTATATTGAGAATTATTTATTTTGTTATAGGGAAAAGTGTGTATCATTTTAAAGGATGTAAAGTTGTGTCATTTTAAGAAAGAGATAGATAAAGGAGAAGAGAGAGTTGACAAAAAAAATAAAGGTGTGGGTCTCACCTCTTTGTGAGAGTGAAAGGATATAAGTTATGTTATTTAAAAGGATAAACACTTTTTTCTTTGTTATATTAAGTTGTTAATATGACTTATGTTATTCAAAGGGCTAACATGGTATGGGATTATTATTGTAACAATGACCAAAGTGACAACTTTTAGCAGGGGTGTTTGCGTTCTGAATTAGATTAATTTTGGAAGTAAAATTTATTCGATTCAATCCTTTTGGTTTGATTATGTAATAATTCATTCGGTTTGGATTTTTTTTCAAATTCGATCCAATCCAATTCAATTTTATTCAGTTTGAATTAGATCGATTTTTGATTTTTTGAAAAGCTTAAAATTTGTTTGATAATTATTATGCAAATAATATACTTTTGTGTGTATTGGTTTTGTAAAGTTTGCATGATAATTATTGTGCAATCTAGAAGTATCAGTCAACAATAATTTAATTTTCAATATAGTACAACAAAAAGTTGATTTACTATCTTTTACTTTTGACAAAAAATTTACAATGTGGTTGCTTAAGATACGGAGTAATTCAAATTTTCATCCTACAAAAGAGTTACTTTACAACAATAACTTATGCAATAAAAATATTTGATGTATCTTATTAAAAAAAAATATAACAAGGATCAAGTACAATTCACTTTTTTCAACATGATGGGTTAATGTGTCTTGCGTTTAGAATTTTTTTATATAATTTTTGTGCTATGATTGAGGAAAGGTTCAAGTAGGTAGAGGGTAAGGTTGGAGAATTATTGAATTGGATCGATTTTCACTAACTAAATTTTACAGTTTTTTTTTTTGTTTTCGATTTTTTGATTTTCAGATAATTCACTTTTCGATTTTTTGATTCAATTACCGTGGTTTGGATCGATTGATGATCATTCTTATTTTTTAGCATAAAAAAGTCTAAATGTCACACTTAAGAAAAATATTTTTCATTCTACCTTGTACAAAGTTTCATAATTAATCTAGCATGACACGTTTTGCGATGTGGCAGAAGTATGTGCATCCTATGGCTGAGTTAGTAATACCAAATACCTATAGGGGTTTTGCTACGTGGCAGAAGGGCGTGACTGCGTGAGTCCTATTGACCGAGTGGGTTTACGTCCTCATGTATGCAATTTCCTAAAGACGAGGGGAATGGAGGATTTGAGGGGAAAAATTTTTGGAATAAAAAAGTAATTAAATTACTATTCTATCTACTTATATTTTTAAATAAAATTAAAACCTCCTTGTTAAAATTGAGTTTTGAAATATAGTAATTTATTATTGAGATAGAATATTATTACTACTAATTTATTTCACCGTTAGATCGATTACGTTGATTAAACGATTATGATTTAACTTTTTAAAAATCTTCTTTCTTTTTCCTATATTTAATACTTTATATTTTTTTCACCTTTGTATAATTATGATTTCTCATATAAAATATGAGGAATCATAATCAAACAAAGGTGGAATAAACATAACCGTTCGATTAACATAATCAATCTAACGGTGAAACAAATCAGTAATGATATTGATAGTAACATTAATTGGTAATAACAATATCCTATTTCTTTATTATTATAAATTTATAAAGATCCATCGTAATTAACCATTTATTTGTATTACTTTGTTATTTTTTCTACTTTATTATAGGAAAAATCAATTCTCATGTAATATGAGAGAGAAAAATTCTCCTACACACACAAATAAAAGAATGAGTTCTATTCTCTAATTTTGATGTAGAGTAGAGTTTTTTTTTTCTCTAAGCCCATTCCTCATTTGTGTGTAGAATCGATTTTCCCTTTGTTATAAACCTAAAAATCTACTTCCAAAAAAAAAAAAAGCCTAAAAAATCTGAATTTCATTCCTGCTAATCTGTTTTCTTTTCTTAATTTGGTTCTTCCTTTCTATCTCCATCAAATATAAAAGGCCACTGATTAGGACTCTACGCTATCCATTTTTTACAATAAGGTTTGTAAGTGTTTACTAAATTTGAGAATTGAGATATTGTAAGATTATTTAACCCGTAATTAATCGGAACAGTGACCAAAGTGCCACTGTTCCACAACTTATTTCCCTAAATGCCATGCCAACAGTGCAATTTACTAGTCTTCCACGAGGGCAAGTTCGCCCAGAGTAGTAGGGAACTAGGTATGATGATGTGTCACATTTCTTGTGGACCCGTAGTTCGCTACTGACACAAGCGAACTCTGCAGCATTAAATGTTGACACGCTAGACAAGTTCGCTTGGGGACAAGGCGAACTATGTGTGACAGGTGTCTCACATGCACATAGTTCGCTGAGGGGCAAGGTGAACTATGTGCCATGTGGCACCACCCCTAGAGTCCGCTGACAGGGCTAGCGAACTTGGGAACAAGTGTCAACAGCTGACCAAGTTCGCAGGACCAAGAAGCGAACTTGGTGACATGTGGCAGCTCCCTGGTAGTTCGCTGCATGGGCCAGCGAACTCCCTGCCGACAGTTACAGTTCGCTGGCCAGCATAGCGAACTTGTTGCTATTTAAACCCACCCCCTTTTCCCACTTGCAATGTGTTCTTCTGGTGCGATTGTTGGTAAAAGAAGCCAAAGTTTTTTTTGCTACTTCTGTCTAATTTGTCAACAAAAAGAGTGATAGTATGAATGATATAATTGCCATTTTATATTACAATGGGAGGAGATATATTGGACCAAACGGTCAAGTCTTCGAAGGAGATACGAAGATGTTCCGCATGAGCGCCCGTTGCAAATATAATGACCTGAAGAAAATTATATACAAGAAGTTGAGATTACAACGTGGTCAGTCCCTCTCTCAACTGATTGCTAGATGCGCCTCCGGTAACCCAGTCCAGTGGGTTTCGGTGGAGGTTGTGGAGGATGAAGACATCTCGTTAGTAGTTGACGCATTTTGACAGCATGGACAGTCGTCATACATCGAGTTGTATGCGGAACTAAACACTGGTGGAGAGGCAAGCACTCAAATCTCTGTCCCTACCAGTTATGACATAGACATTAACCGGGAGCCGGTGGATAGTGCGGAAGCTATACCTGTGTCACCACCCCCGCCACCATCACCCCCACTAACAATGCCATCAGATGTGATTCCTGCGCATGACATATATGATCCCTCGTGGCGTACTGATAGTTCCGAGAAAGGGGTTGATGAAGGTCTTGTTCCTAATAGTGATTCATCGGATACAGAGGTTGATGGTGATTTCGAAAGGGAGCCGTGCAGTGTATTGTGTCAACCGATTCCATCACCGGGCATTGATGGAACGCATGACGCACCACCCCTGGCAGGTGAGTGGTTTGTAAGGTGGTTTTTAATTTTATAAAATACAATAATATTGGAAATGACATGTGTTCGGCTTATACAGGGGAGGATACTATACCGTTTTGGTCACAAATAAGCCATTACAAGAATATTAACTGGGCACACCCCGATCAGGAGTGTGACGAATGCAAGGGGAACAAATTCTAAACTGGCAGATGGGTCAAGAGCTGTATAAGGACCAGGTGTTTGAAAACAAGCAGGATGTACAGATGGCAATAAAACAATACTGTATGGCTGAACATCACACAACCATTGTGGAAAAAAGTGATACGAAAAGGCTGATAATGGTTTGTCAACAACACAATGACGGTTGTCCATGGAGGATGAGGGCATATCAAAAAATGGCGGCACTGAATGGTTTATAGGCATATGGAACAACACCCACACATGTGTTAGTCATTCACTTTCTCAAGATCACAAACAACTTGACTCAAATTTCATTTGTTCTTTGACCATCGATAAGTCACCTAAACCTAAATGTTTATAAGATAAATACTGCGTATTGGCTAATGCGTTCTTCTTTCACAAAACACAAAAATGATACAGGAAGAGCCAAGTGTTAAATTGGTGTAATCCAGGAAAGGATTGCATCAAGTCTAGGATTTCATATCTCATACAGAAAGGCATGGAAAGCAAAGCAAATGGCTATTGTCAAGGTTTTTGGGGATTGGGATGAGTCGTACGCATTTCTTCCGAGATTATTAGATTATATGTTGTTGTTTTCTCCAGGTTCTGCTTATAAGCTCGACGTGAATGACCATAGGATTGACGGTCGTCTTGATGGTTCGCACCAGGTTTTCAGAAGGGTTTTCTAGACATTCAAGAAGTGTTATGATGCTTTTAATTATTGTAATCCTATGCTCCAGATCGATGGGACCCATTTGTATGGGAAATATCGTGGAACGCTATTGATTGCTACAGCCGTTGATGGTAACAATTACGTTCTGCCCGTTGCATTCGTTGTTGTTTATGCAGAGAATATTGATAACTGGTCCTGGTTTTTGGCTACATTGTGAATCCATGTCACTCAGAAAGATGGAATATGTCTTGTTTCAGATCGACATATTGACATCTTGACTGCTGTCAATAACGCTGACCTGGGGTGGCAACCACCGAAAGCTTACCATGTTTTTTTCCTTCGACATGTCGCAAGTAATTTCAATCATAAGTTTAAGAATGTCATGTTGAAGAAGCAGTTGAAGAAGTTAGATACGGTTTTTTTGCATAACATGTTTTTAGTTTGATTATACTTTAACATGTTACTAATGCTATTCATTTTTGTGTTAATGAAACGGCTATACAACTTCGCGATTAGATTTTGATCCTGGTTTGAAAAAATTTAAAGAAACAAGCCCACAA